GGATCATCCGCCCTGGATTCCCTGTGTTTCCAGTTCCTATCTGTACCAGTGTACATCCTCTGGTCTAGCCAGATTTGTAAGGTAGAATTGGGATCGTGCTATTGGGGGGCAGGGGGAAAGCATTTAGGAACGTGCTGAATTAATTTCTATGGATGTATACTGTTCTTGGTCATCTGACTGTATTCCAGAAATTCCTTCACCCCTACAGATATTGGAGTTGGATGACCTCAGAATAGATTCCAATGCAGTTCGTGTTCAGAGAGACGTGGGAGATTTTGCAGGATCAATTAAGCCATCTGTGCCTCCGTCTTTGGGGTTGTAGCTATTTTAGGAGCATCCAGCTCAGGGCCTCCCTGATTGGGTATGAAATTCCTATTACCATGGACATGGTGATCAAATTAGTGCAGCTAGGATTTATGTCTCTTGGTTGCAGAAGGATGGGAGTTATCAGAGTGCTTGAAGTAAAATGCCAGGCAGTGCCCCATCCTTCCAGAAAAGTGCTGGAAAGGTGCTCCGCACTCAGCATAGTCTCCAGGAATCACCCAATGTTTAAGGAAAGCCGGGAAGAGACAAACGTGTACTTCAAATGTAAGGGACTTTCAGTTTATCAACCCCCATTTCTTTTCTGGAGACCTCGAAGCTGGCAGTTTTGTCTTTTACAATGGTGATGCCAGACTACCGCCTGGAAGGGTGACTGACACTCTTCAGAAGGAGTCTTCAAACTAAGTATGCCATTGACCCTGGATCACCCATCCCTCTGCCCCAGCCACTATGCTGAACATTCTATTTTTTGACTCCAAAAACACTAACTACGAATAACCATACCAAACTCACTGGCATCGAGTAGATGCTGACTCACGGTGACCCCTTGTGGGTTTCTGAGACTGTACAGGAAGAGAAAGCCCCGTCTTTCCCCAGCAGAGAGGCTGGTGGTTTCAAACTACCGACCATGAGGATCCCAGCCCAATGCGTAACCACCCCACCACCAGGGCTCCTATCAAAAGCCTTCCTGATATATGAACGGTTAACACGTATTTCGTGTATGTCACATATTACATACTGCACCCACATAAAAGCTGCATTTTCATTGAGATAAGAAGGTATTTCACCAAAAGCACAGTTTTAATGTAGCTACAGTGATAACTTTGCAAATTTCCTCTTTTTACACTGGATTCATTCATCTGGAAATGGTGGGCACCTGCACCGGTGGCCCTCAAACTATGCAACATTTCAAGCAATTCAACTTTTCCTCGCTCCTTGGGAACACTTCCAGCCTGGCACGTGGCACTTGGTGTGGGTTCTATGGTGTTACCCAAGGTCGCCGGCACTAAGCACAGTGGACAACATGCTGGGACACTGACGGTGCCTTTTACTGCTCAACACAGTTTACTGGCAAGACAACTGCTCACAAGGAGGGAGATGAATTATTGTCACATGTTGTTGTTGTTTCAATCCACAGGTGAGTGAACCCACATTCAAACTCGTGTTGCTCTTAGGGCAACTATTGTGTTAATGAGTCCAATTCCCAGCTATCCAGAGCAATATGAAAATTCGGTGGAAATTCAGGTAGATTTATGTTATTTATCCAGTAGACATTGATTCTATCCATTATTGACTTCTAGACAGTCCTGTTAGAAATCTGGTGTGAAAAAATTAAAATTATAAAAAAGAAATCTAAAATAAATAAATAAAAAAGAAATCTTAGGTGAAGATAAAATATAGACCCTTCCATTTTCTACTACCTGCTATGCCAAAATTTAAAAGTTGTTACAAGCAAGTTGATAATTCTTTTATTACTGAAAGTTTATTTACATGAGTTTTTAAGGCATAATAAAAAATAAATTACAATACAAAAGTACTCTTTAGGAGCAAGACACTCAACAATGGGGCCATGTTTGTTACATCTTGAATATTTAGCTGAGGCACGAGCTACAAGGTTTGCTAGCAAGACTCCGTCGTCAGTTTGTAAGGACTGTGTTTCTCTCCATTGTTTGAGTAAGTATCCAGTTATACTAGACTCCAAGGCTGAACTAGGAATGAAAATGTAAAATGTAGATAGAAGGATGACAGGTTTCAAATCTAAATTTTCATTTCAAGACTAAGTCTTGAAATGATCATTTTCATTTAGTATAAAAGATCAAATGAGAGATGTTGAATGAATTTCAGAATCAAGGTTCATATGTGAGTTTTACCTCAAGGGGGGAAAAGAAAGATTGGAAGAATATCAAGGTTAAACATCATTAAAGGCAGATAGCCTATTCAAAAGTTCATTTTCTGCAGCCCAATCCATGAAAATGGAAACCATCAGGCTCCGAACATGTTATTTGGAGCCTAAGCTGGTGTTTTCTAAACTTTGCACAAACACTGCTGTAGCTTAAGTTTAGGAAAACACTGGGAAGTGACAGTTTTTAAAAGGCTCTCATCTTTCCAAAGCCCATTTATAAAGTTTGCTTTATCTATCAGTACGAGGGAAGAAAGAATAATAAAGTTGATTCATTCAGTGAAAGTACTTTTGGCATTTCTTGTCTCACACCAAATCCTCGCTTCCACAAAATGTAAGTGAAGTAGAAGTAGTGAAGTAGAAGAAAGAACGTAGATCCTTTTTCCAGTTCTCAGAGCGTTGGCTCTTTCTCCACAGAGTTATCACTTAGCACTGTGATGGTTGTTGCTATGGTGGTTTTCACAGCCCTAAGTCTCCAAGGTCACAGTGTGGGACTAGAGAATCATTCTGTTTAACGGCTCCGTGATTCCAGTCCACAAATGAATATAGACTTTGCTCAAGTGTCATAGATATTCACAAGACAGAAAAAATGCCAACAAGTGAATCATGATAAGGTGGGATTAGTCCGTCTGTAAACTCTTACATAGCCTTTTCTAGTGAATTCAGTTATTCTGATGTGTGCTATTGTAAGCCTTGGACCAATTGACCAAAAAAACTGCCATCTGGGATATTGGAGGGGAAAAAAGTCAGTCTAACAAGAAGTGCCCTGTACTTAAGGAGAGCCTTAATTATCAAAATGCTGTCGGATAGTATTAAGATTGACTGTTAATCCACCACCTTTTAATTACAGACTGCGCGGACAAGGAGTAAGCAAATTCTCTTTCTTGTAAGTGCAGCTTCTGAAAAAGGCACTGTGGTGTGTGCAAGGCAGTGTGGCTGGCACGTTCACTTCTGTCTGTTCATTTCTGCCTCGTTTGGAGCTGATCCATGTGGATCCAAGTCACAATCCACCAGGACTGCCCAAAGGCAAAAACCTGGGTTGTTAGTTTACAAAAAACTGATGAGTAGTCAAAATGTATTTGCACTCAGAAATAAAACCTCCATTCGGAGGCTGGTGCTACGTGCTTGAGAGGGACCTACACCGGCCTCAGAAAACCCTTCGTTATCTAGGAGCAAGTGCCCCACAGAGCAGGCTGGAAGACAATCACAACGGGAAAAGCCGAGAAAAGCATCCATTCGCTTCACCTTAACCTGGATTTCTTGTTCTTGGACAGCTTCAGCTTCCTAAAATAGAAAACAAACATTTAAATGGATCATGATAAGGGGACTTGGCATTATGAATTACACGCACTTTGGGTCTATTCTCTATTTTGAAGGGAAGGAAAATATTCTTAAGCTCGTGTTTTGTTTTTTTTCTCCCCTTAATTGGATTTTTTAAAGAAGTTTTCTGTTCATTATTACATAGGTCCCAGAGTCAGTGTCGTGAATGCCTAGCCTCTAGGTGCTGTGTGAAACCCCTGGGGGTGCAAACAGCCAAGGAGCCTGGCTGGTACTGAAAGACTGGCCATTCCAGTTCCCTCAGAAATTCCTCATAAGTAAGTCCTGGTGATCTGCTTCAGAGAAAGCGTCCATTAAAAACTCTGTAGAGATATAATCTACAAGACCCTGGAGAAAATTGTCCTCAGGCCCTGAAATTTCTCAACCTTAAACAAAACAAAACCAATAGAGCCCAGTTCTACCATGGTAACAACATGGTGGTGAGTGGTTAAGTACATTGAATGGCCACGTAGCTATGTGCTGATTCAGCCCTATTCTCCCTCTCCCTCTGTCTCTTTGTCATTACAAACATTATCAAATACACAGAAAAGTGGCAAAGGCAGTAGATAGGGGACTTCTGTGCTCTATTTGTGTTTTTGTTTTGTTTGCTGAAACTTCAAAAGAAAAGTACAAATAGTCTGACATTTTACCTCTAAGTACTCCAAAGGCATTCTCCTTTGTAACCACAATACCATTATCACACCCAATAAAAACATACAATAATTTCCTAATATTACCCCCACTCATAATTTCTCCCAGTGGTCACCCCCACCCCCGATTTTTTTCTATGCTGGTTTGTTCAAACTAATACCCTTCCAACCAGAGATGGTATATTATAGTTGATGGTGTTCATCTCTTAAACTTCTTCTCATCTAAACCAGCCCATCTTTCTTTACCATGACACTGACTTGTTGGGGAATCCACTTACGCTTAAAAGACAGGCTCTGGGTAAAAACTCCCTCATGCCAAATGTGAATCTCTGGTTTTACAATAGAAGCCGTTTTCTCCCATGCTCTTTGGTTTTAGCCTTTAAAATGTGACTGTTTGTAAATTCAACATTTTAATAAGACTCTTTGCAGATAATTATAGTCTAAAATGATCTCTCTCCATCTAGGAAAGCCAGAGTTGTTAAAGGTTAAAATAAAATTTAAGGTGCATATTCTTGATTTACAACACCTAGAAATCAAAAGCATGGGCCAGCTTCAAGGAATGGGAGGAATTTTGTGCATATGTAAAATAGTCCTACTTTTTATGCTGGAAATCTTGACCGTCAGAATCACACACCACTAAAAATGATCTCAGTTCCAACAATGAAATGAGAGGAAGCATTCAAGTCAATTCCAAACAGAATGTTGGCTGTGTCTTTTGAGTTGCTCTCGGTGTTGTGATTTGCAATAAAACAAATAAGCAAATATCCACCCTCTCATTAAATTTTGAAAAGATTTGCCTACATGTTTAGGACTCACTAATCTTCATTGGCAGTAGGGTCTGGCTTTCTAATCTTTTGCACCGAATACACTCAAAGGGGAGTATATGAGATGTACAGAAGATTGTTCTCTCTGCCCGGCCCTCTCTAGTTTCCTAAGGGAAACACCAGCAGCCATGCAAAGAAACCTTCTCATTTGAGATAAACTAGACAGGTCTGAAAACTGAGGAGAGAAGTCGCTTCATTAGTGAGCCCTACCATCTCAACGTGATCGTCAGTTTTCTTCAAAGAAAACAGAACCCTTTTTTTCTTGGTTGAGCCGTTCATCTTCTTTTCTGGAACAAAGAAGCAGACACCAAAGGTCAGACGAGCAAGAAGGAAGTACGAGGCAAATCCTCCAGACACGTCTGCTGAGGTGTGCGCTCCCACATTTGGGGAAGATTGCGTGTACCTGGGAGTAGATCCAAGCTTACTGAGAATCAGACCACTAATGCCGTCTAACGAGTCATACTCATGCCTGAACATGATCCTTGCTACCTGAACTCTGCTACTTCTCAGTGTAAGCAAATAGAATTTGGCATCTGATTTGGGAACTAGAAAGTTTGTATTGACCTAGAAATTCATTATTTATTGATTACATTCACTTCTGTTCAAAATAGAACCTCATAATTAGGTTTGTTCAATTCTTTAAAAGCCTTTTTTCCCCCTTCAGGAAATATTTCTAAGGGGAAGAAACAACTCATGCTGGGACCGCTGGATAGCTGCCTGAAAGCTTGTGGTTGAACTTCTGCCTCACATGATAGACCAAGACAAGAGTGGACCCCCAGTCTTTCTAAGGCCGAATGAAGAGCTCCTACTGTGAAACTCTAAGATGCACATAGGTGTTCGTCTTGGTGACCTTGGATCAGGCGATGGTTTCTTAGCTGTGAGGACCAGAACACAAGCACCAGAAAGAAAAACAGGTTGAAATGGACGTCGTCTCATTAAAAAGCATGTGCTTCCAAAGACCTTCAAGAAAGTGAAAAGATAACCCTGCGAATGGGGACAAATTCATGGTAGATCACACAAGTATGTCTCGTCAGGAACTAGTATCCAAATTCTATTTAAAAATTCTTGCAATCAACAACCAAAAAATAGGCAAACTATTTGAGTAGATGTATCTCTAAATAAGATATACAGATGGCCAATAAGTACATAGAAAGATGCTAAACCTCATTAGTTGTTGGGAAAATGCAAATCAAAACACATTGATGAAGTATCATTTCACACCCACTGGTTGGCTCTTGAGGTTTATGGAAAAGTTGGACAATAATTAGTGTTGACAAGGATGTGGAGAAATTGGGATGCTCTTACATTGTTGATGGGAATGTAAAAGAATGCTGTTGTTTGGGAATAGCAAGCTTGGAAGTTCTACCAAGTTTAAAGACTCTGTCACCAAGTGACCCAGCAAGTCCACTCCTAGGTATAAATGCACTCAAGAGAATTGAGCACACAGGCCACACAAAACCCTGTACGAAGCTCCAGAGCAGCATTCTTTATGATGGCCCCAAAGTGAGGGGGGAATAGAAAGCCAAGCAATAGAGAACTGGATAAACCCAAGGTTTCTCCAGCCAGAAAACAGAACTCAGCACTGATAAATCTTACAACATGGTGAGCCTTGAAAACACTGTGTTAAATGAAGAAGCCAGTTATAAAAGGCCAATAAAGACAGAAAATAGACTAGTAGTTGTCAGGTGCGGGACCTGCGGGGGACAGGGAGTGACAGCTAAAGAATATGGTGTCACCAATATGAATATGGGGTGGTGGGGGAGGGGGGAGGGGCCATATAAATGTTCTTGAAATTAATGGTGATGGCTGCATTAAAATATTAAAAGGATAACTATTCTAACACTTCCTTTTATCTGCCCTTCCCTCTGAATTTGAATGCTTTTTAAGTTTGTTGTTGTTTTTTGAACTCCCAGAGAACATCTGTTCAGCCATGACTCCGCCCCAGTGTGAAAGGCCAAGAGTCACCCACCGGGAGAGGTGTTAGGAGACTGTCCCAGAACTCCCCAGGCTTACGGTTTTATCTCCACCACTTTATGAGCTCGGTCAGCCGATCGCTTTTTCCGGAAATGCTGGACGAGGACCACCACAATTACGATTATGATCATCAGCGCACAGGCGGAGCCGATGGCCATGGTCAGGAGGTGGATCTCAGAGAACTGTACTAGAAGGGAAACAGCAGCAAGTTAGCCCTCTCACGTGGAGGCAAGGAGCCCTGATGGCAGCCTGGGTGAATGTCAGCCACAAGGTCAGAGACCTGAACCCACCCGCTGCCCTTGAGAGAAAAGGCCTGAAGGAGCCCCTGCTCATGTAACATGTGCAGCCTAGGAAACAACCAGATGGATTACAAGGCACAGGGCACAGCCCCATGGTGCCCGAGGCCACCATCAGCTGGGCGCCAACTTGGTAGCAGCTGGCAAGCATGTGTTGAAGTCAAAAGATACAATAGAGAGACATTTTCATTGTGAAATGGAACCGCCCCTTCTCCGACTCTGAAAGATAAAATGTCAAGGTCTTGTGTGCATGGAGTCGATTTCCACCCGTAGCAACCCTAGGAAACAGAATATTGGGGTCAGAACCTCATAGGGGCAGTTCCACCCTGTCCAGTAGGGTTGCTATGAGTCAGCACCAACTCCTGGCAGTGAGTTTGGTTGGTTGGTTGGTGTGTTTGGTTTTCTGGGGGGTAGGTTTCTTAGGCTGTAATCTTTATAGTGACAGATCACCAGGTCTTTTCTCTCTCAGAGCCAATAGGTGGGCTCAAATAGCTGACCATTCAGTTATCAGCCAAGAGCTCAACCGTTGAGCCACTAGGGCTCCACACAAACTCGTGGTTCTCAGTTTGTAGGCAGCCGTAGTGTGATGCCAGGAAGAGCCACCACAGCATCACGTGACAACTCTCAGCTGAGAATCCTGCTCCTCCCAGAACCCACTGAATCAGAAACACTGGGGTGGGGCTCAGCCACCTTCAGTTTACTGAGTCCTCTGGGTGATCCTGGTTCACAGGGAAGCTTGACAACCACCTAGTACAGAGAGCCAAATGATTGCCCACTCCCAGTCTCACTCCTCCGCATCCTTGCCGCTCAATCAGGCACTCATTTATTCAAGCAGAGGTTCCAGGCATTGTGCTGGAAATACAAAACCAAAAAAGACATTGCCCTCAGGGAGCTCACCCGCCACCCACCGGGAAGACAGGCAAGTAAGTCTGTAACTGGTCTAGCGCATAAGTGGTGGAAGAGGGGATCCAGAGGAAGGGCTGCTACGTCAGACTCCAGTCTGTGACGTGGCCCTCCTATGCTGTAGCGTGATTTCTGTTCACACTTCACTAAACTCCCCCCCCCCCCCATCCAGGAAGAGCGTCAGAGCATGTCTAGTACCGGAATTTCCACCTCAAATCCATGACGGGCTGGAAAGGAAAGCAGCAAACACAGAGTGCACGTCAGACTGCACACAGGCATTTTTTGTCGGAATCAAAGCTATCATCACTTTCATTAGATTTCATTATATTAGTTACATTGAATAGCCATTGGTTTCTTATCTAACCTGTTGTGCAGCTGAAGAAACTGTGGCCCAGAGACATTACTGTATTTTTGCATATAGTGTGCCCACATACCTCGTGCTTATGGATAGACCACGCAGAGCAAACATGTGAAACATAATGCAGGAGGGGGCTGTGCAGCTGGCAAAAAAAGTTGTTTAGTGTGTTATTTTTGTAAAATATAGTGCTTCTTTTGAGACTTAAATGACTCCTCCAAAGGAAAGGAGGAAATCGTGCACAGGAGGTAACAATGTTGTAAGTTGGTGTAGACCACACTCCAGAGAGTGCGGGTTCGAATCCGCGTTCTACCATATACTACCGCGCCTGTGAGGGTGGCACAGGACCAGACAGAGCTTCACTCCACTGTACGTGCGGGGGGCCACTGTGCGTCACAACCAACCGGACACCTAACAACCTCCACTTACCAGCTGTGACTGGGAGATGGAGCCCTGGTAGCGCTACGGAGTCCGTGTTGCGGTGCTAGCCCAAAGGATGGCAGTTCAAACCCACCAGCCACTCTATAGAAGATGTGGCTTTCTGCTCCCGCCACAGTTTATCTCTTGGTTGCGCATGAGTCAATCAACTAGATTGAAGTGAGAGTGATTTGAGGTCATTAACTCTTTTGAGCCTCATCTAGAAGTCAGATACATGTCTTCCTTTAGAAGATAAAGGAACAATATTCCTTTTAAGCAACATTCATTCTAAGAATAAATGTTTAAATCCACGGAACTAGTTCCATCCTGTGCCTGCACAGAACAGACACCGTGTCGTATCTATCTATAGTCTCGACTCCTGGCCAGTGTGTCTCAGATGCAGCCACCACTCATCGAGGGCCTGGGTGACAACTGATGCTGCCCAGGTTTCAGGGGTGCTTTGAGGCTGAGAGGGAGCAGGAAGAAAGGCCTGGAAAGCGCCAGAACAATCATCCAGTGAAAATCCCACAGCTCACAGTGGCCCAACCCTTGGTGCAGGGGGTCACCAAGAGCTGGAGCTGACTTGATAGCAGCAAGTTCCCCCAACGCCATCCACAGTGACGCTCAGAGCTTGTGGAGCTTGGCTGTACCTTTCCCCTCATTCTGCCCGCAGGATAATATTTTCACTCTACAGGAGGACCAGGAGCTTGACTCCCAGCTGATGCATGGTAGCAGTGTCAACCCCGGTCTGCAGTGGTGGTGCGAGCTCCTCACTCTTTGTTCTCTGGAAGTTTTCCAGACTGCCAAGTAGTACGCGGCCTTCATTTGGAAAATGGACTGGGAGTCAAAGGGACCTGGTCTAAGTCCCAAGTGAATCCAGTTGTCAGCGACAGAACTTTGGTCAAGTGACCTAACCACATGCGCCTCAGGTCTTCATTGGTAAAATGAGGTGTCAAGGGCACAAGAGACTGATGAGCCATATGAAGAGTAAATAAGATGTCTGGTGTAAAACCTCTGATAATAAACTTTGGCTACCTTAGAGGGGACAACACCGGAGACACAGTGTGGGAATTGCGCCCGATCTGATCCCACCACACCGAGGCAAAACACTAAGGGCGTGCAACAGAACAGCAAGGGGAACAGAACCACGAAGATCTCAGGGAATACCTAAAATAGACTTTGGGGCCAGGGCTTGGCACCCCATCAGACTCAACCAAAAAACTCCTAAAGGCCAATAAACAGTCCTTGAACTAACTACAAGCTTTTCTTTTTTGTTGTTATTGTGATGTGGGTTTTTTTTTGTTTTGTGTTTGTCATTGGCTTTTTGTTGTTGTTGTTTTGTTTTCTTTTGTTGCTTGGTTTTGCTCGGTCTTGTATTTGTGCATGTTATCTCCGCAGGTCTGTCTAAATAAGATAGGCTAGATGAACAATCTGGAGGAGAAAACAAAGACCGATGGTTCCGGGGAGGACATGGGAGAGGGGGAGGTGGGGGGAAGGATATGGTGTTAACAAACCGAGGGACAAGGGAACAACAAGTGATCCAAATTGGTGGGGAGGAGGGTGT